ATATAATATAATATAATATAATATAATATAATATAATATAATATAATATAATATAATATAATATAATATAATATAATATAATATAATATAATATAATATAATATAATATAATATAATATAATATAATATAATATAATATAATATAATATAATATAATATAATATAATATAATATAATATAATATAATATAATATAATATAATATAATATAATATAATATAATATAATATAATATAATATAATATAATATAATATAATATAATATAATATAATATAATATAATATAATATAATATAATATAATATAATATAATATAATATAATATAATATAATATAATATAATATAATATAATATAATATAATATAATATATAACATAGACCCCTCAATCTTTTTTAGGGTCTATCGTAAAAAGAACCTGTTTTAGGACGATGTTAAAATTGTTTCCTGCTATGGAAAAGATACACATAGGAGAGGGGGAGATATGTGTTTTATTTTGTCTTTCGGGCTCATAATCTTCCTGCAGTATTTTTAAATCAAATTTGTTTCAACCAAATTTGTTTCGCATATTTTACATAACATTTATTTGTTCAAACCTATGTGAACGTCAGTGCAATATATCACATTTCGTCATATGTGCATTTAATTTTCCTATTTTGTTTTGTTTGTAATAACATTTCAGGTTTTGAAAACAGCATTTTTTTTCACATTTACATACATAAATAATTTAACCGTTTAGCTTGTATAGTCTGGGGTAAACAATGGTTCATGGCTCACCTATATGCTTTCTTCATCGCTCAGAAAATTTACCCCAAAACAACTGAACAAGAAGACTGCGTATCATAAGATTTGTATCTCGTTACAGAACTTACACATTTTAGACAACAAATTTGAGATAAAATTAACTTTGGGCATCATTAAATTATGGATCACATTCCACAGAAATTCCCACAGCTTTGTGTCTATAAAATGGTAATTGGTCGGCAATTTTCCACCCATCTAAGTAGGTTGACAGTTACTAATAATAATTAATAATCAACTTGTAATCGTATGTATTATGGCGTAAACGTCAAAGCGTCCGAACAATGCTTCTTCCTGTAATACGACGACATTCGCGCCCGGGCCGCACTCGCATCCGCGACGTATAAAACGCGTGTAAAGTACATTGTTTATAGTTACGTGGAATTATATTTTTAACAAAAGCATGGGTTTCCTCTGTGTGACGATTTAATAATATACCATATAAATGGTTTTTACGGTACATTCGATTAATCCGCCAGTGATCTCTATAAATCCGCACATCAGACGGGGAGGGGTTCGCTGCATAAAATAGCTGCTACAATCACTGACTTCACTCCTACAAGTGTAATTTATTTACAGTTGACGAAGAAAGTTAGTTGCTCATTTTATATGTGAACACGGGTATGTTACGTACTCGAAACACGTTGTTGGTATATATGGTACCATCAACTTATCACAACTGCGAATTTTATTAAACGCAAAAAAATGCACCCTAATAATTTCGGTGTGTCTTCTTCATCCCCACTGGGATGACGTTTACCAAACGTAACAGCTAATAGGATCGACCGTCGAAAATAGGTGTTCCCCTAGAATGGCGGTGTTTCCGTGTTACATGGTTACCGTTGTATTGTTCACGAATTTTGCATGAGTGTAGGCGCGTGTTTAGTACTAGATCGGTCGTTTACTGGACACCTACAAGTACCATCAATCCAGCGAGCGTTTGACAATTCGAGATGTCATGTGAACCGAGGGAAAGAGAAAACAGACAAGTATGAAAGGTAGGTGTCAGCTCGGCCTTGTTTTACGAGTGTCACGTTACTAATACAACCAAACAATTACACATACTTTTTGTACTTCCTAATTGACCCAAGAATGCTCAAGTTAAACAAAAACGTTTGACCAGTCTTATGTCAAGTGAAGAAGAAAAAATGATCGGTAGCACACATCGGTGCCTTGATCATACATGCATTTAGCAAACGAAGTGAAAGAGAGCGATACATAAGAATTCCCGTGCCGAGACTCGTCACAGTCCGTCAACGACAGCAGAATATAACATAGCGCACGCAGTCTCCGTCATCAGCTGTGCTGGTCGCCGACGTTTACTGTATATCCCATTTTCTTCCACAGTTCCTTAATCGTGAACAGAGACGTGTTGCTATATTGATTAATTTGTGTTATTTCAGCTTCCGTCGAAACGTTTTACTAGCCTTTAAACCGAACTTCAAAGAGCAGCTGAAGAAGTCTTAAAAAGTCAAAGTAGTCAGTCCCGTAGGCAGTTACCAACATAACAGCAGTAGGAAATACACACACACCTTGACTATTATAGTACTTAACACAAAAAAGTAGATTTATTTCAATTATGCCTGGCATATGTCAGTTTTTTAAAACAAACTTTTCCCATGAATAATGGTTGTGCCTCCTTACTGTCTGTTTAAAGCTACAACAAGGTACACCTGGCTGGATATTAGATACAGTGACCAGGTCTGCTTCTCTTTTCAATCGTTTAATCTGAATAAGCATATAGTTATTAATAAATAACAAAACTCATTTTTTATAGGATTTTGAGATTCAATACAGGGTTCATGAAAAGGACACTGAAATATTTTACCTCCATGTCACAAATAGCTACCGGTCATGACACTGGAGACAAATAATAATAATAATAATAATAAAAATAATTCCTTTATTGAAATCATATGCTGTTCAGGATCTGGATTTTTAAAATACAATAAAGTTTCAGATACATACAAAATGGCAAGACAAAATACAAATGAAGACAAAATGAAAACATAATAAAATAAAAATAAAAATAAAAACAGGGAGAACAAGGAATGGTTAGAAAAACAAAACAGAAAAGGTATCTTAATGAGTTACCGGTATATCAATTATAAAAATTATAAAGCAGCTGGTATTTTTTGTTTATGAGTGTCATTTCTTAAATTGAAGCACTCAAAGATATATTTTGCCAAATGAATTAGTGATTGTTTATCTTTTGTTTTTAGAATGTCTACAGTGTTTTCAATATAAGATTTGTCAATTGTTGTAATGACATTTGTGGTATGTAGGAACTTGTTTCTTAAATCAGCATAGAGAGAACAAGTTGTAAGTCGGGGTGGGGGTGGACCTTGAGTGCCATAGTCACTTACGACCCACATCATGAGGCACAACGTGGTACCACAGTGAGCTTGCCAACTAGGAAACATGGACACTCACGATGTGTCAGGTCTGTAGGATGTTTCGCCCATCATTTGCCGACCTGGAAGTTTCACCCACACACATGTTTTATATATTATCGATTGAGTCCTTGCATTTATTTATATTAATTATTTATTTTACCTTTAATACATAAAATTAGAAGTGTGGTATATTTATGTTTATTTACTAATAGCCCAAATGTTTCACATGCAATGTACAGTGCATTTTTTTGTTTTTAGTTTAAACTCATTTGTTGCAAGTATGGCATTTTTGTATTTATTTAGTAATAATTAATAATTTATTAGTAAATAAACGTATGAGTTATAAGTAAATAATATAATTAAGCCATACTTGCAATGTGAGTTATTAATACATAAATATGCTGTACTTGTAACATACAAGCTATTAGTAAATATATAAGTGAAATCAATATATATAACTGTTATTTACGATTTATAAATAATTATAAAATCACACCAACTCTTTTTTTTTTTTTGGTTTCTCAGGAGTACAATTCTATATCTAATTCCTAACATCTGACGTTAAACTCGTTAAGAATTGTCAAAATATGTCAGATGGTTGGTACCATTCATTTACAGCCTGTTATGTTTCACTGTCATTGTGGACCTGTCGCTCATTTCTATTTTATGATGCCAACACCTTGTTCAAGGCAATGTCATCCATTGTGATGTCTATTCATTAAAAAACTGTCTATCCCAATGTCTTGGTAATCCAAGATGGCCATACATCACAAAGATATGTCCTTCTGGACTTTAGCCTGTGGGTTGATATAGTTCGTGGGTTGTTATACCCTGGAGGTTGTTGTAAAATGGTTTTTTATTGTTCGTTTTACAGAGAGATGTTTAGTTTGCAGTTTGGTCTACAGAGTCATGTTTGTTTGAGAGAGAGGTGTTTGTTTGGTTTGTAGTTAGGTTTACAGAGGAG